ATTCCTGCTTCTGTGAGGATGACCAGGAGAAGCTCCAAAGTAAACACTCAACCAGAAGTCAATTGTGAATCTCTGCTTGAGGAGCTGGAAGATGCAGAAACAAAATCAGATCTTAGTAATCCTTCTGAAACACAAACTAATAATAATAATAGCAAAATTGTGCAGTCAGCAGAACCAGTTCCTGAGTTGCAGGCTGATGGGGATGTGTCTGAAGCAGAATCAAATTGCTCTACTGCGTCTGGACTTCAGACACCTTTGTTCATAAGGGTAACAAGGAGAAGAAAAATTGCCATACCCTATCAGCCGGATTCTCCTGCCAAAAATAGGCTTTCCAAGACAGCTCTTCCAAGTGAGTTAAGCAAGTCTCAAGATGAAGATGATGTCTCTGAAGCTGAGTCATGTTCTTCCACTGTTTCTGGAGCTCGGATGCCCAGTGTTGTGAGGACAACAAGAAGCAGGCAGAGCAAAACTAAAATCCAACCAGAACCTGTTTGTGAAGCCCAAGCTGAAGAAGTTTCTGATGCAGAGTCATGGAGTTCGGGTTTTTCAGTTGAGCCATCCATTACTACCAGAAGAATAACTAGGAGCATGCGAATTAAATCGCAAGCAGAAACCATTGAACAGACTGAGAAAAAAGTTAGTGAAGCTATGCTGGAAGATGAGAAATCAGTTAAGGACCAAATTAAATCTCAGCCAATAATCACATCCTACTCAGAGCATGCTGCCAAGTGTGATTCTGATACAGAGCAAACTTCCCCCCTTTCATTTAGTGAAGTGCCCTGTAAGAGTAAATATGTGCCTGACTCTGCAAATGTGACCATAACAGATGACACACAACACATTTTTGGAAATGATGCAACCCCCAACAGCCCTAAAGAAACAGAAAAACAATGTAAAATAGAGCATTCTGAAAAAGAAACAACAAATGAGAGACAGTTTGGAATTATAGATAGTTCAGTAGAAGAGTGTGATCAAGCATTAGAAAAAGAGACGAAAGAAACTGGAAAAGAAGCACACTTGACGAACGTAGGTCATTCTGTGTGTGACCACAAGAGCCTTGAAGGATCCTGTAGTTCCTCAAAGCAGACAACTCCAGCTAAAAAGAAACAAATTGCAGAATACCAAGAAACAGATGTTGAGGAGGTAGCACAGAGTTCTAACACCAATGAGGATGAAATAATAGTGGACAAGCAGTCCAGCACAGCAAGCAGCCTGCAAAAGGCTAGTGATGCAATTGATGATGACCACAAAATATCTGATGTTATTGTAGACAATGGCAGAGACCAAGTAGAACTAGTTGTTGAATCTTCCCCATGCATATCCCAGAAAAAGAGCAATGAAAAAGATTCTGTTGTGTCACTTCTTAACAGTGATGAGAGTGATGAATCTGAAAACAGTGAAGTGGAAGAGGTGGATGAAGCGGAAGAAAATCTTTGCTGTGCAGAGACCAGTAATCAGAAATTGTTCTCTAACAAGTCTTTAGAAAATGGTTCATCTCACGGGGAAGCAGTGTTTGTAATTGACACAGAACCTGGATTGAGCTTCAACAAAAAGTATTACCTCGAGCAAGAGAACAGAACAAGTGATGCAGAAAGTAAGGATGAAGAAAGTGAAAGGGATGAAGAGCCGTCAGATTTGGAAGAAAATGAGGAATTCATAGATGAAGATGAAGATGCAAATTTATTGGAAAATAAGGAATCACATATGTAAGTGCCTTTTCCAGTTACTTTAAGCAATTTTATGCCTATCAGAATTAAATATAATTAGTATCCAGTGATGCTAAATGATCCAGTGATGCAGAATAAACGAGGGCACTGATTTGATGACATGATCTGTGGATGTGAAACTGGACTTGATTGGACTCCAGGATGGAATTATAGCTTGCACATATCTAAAACAGTGACCTCTGTTTCACGTGTGTGCAAGAGAAATCTATGACCTGTGGTCCTTGGACCAGTTTTTATGTTGTTTCCCCTCCAGATTATGCTCTGTATCTTGCCTTTCAGCTGTGGGTGGTGCCTTTTCCCACCACTTTGACAACTCTCCCCTTTTTTTCTCGGGATACTATATTTGGTTGAATCTCACAAATTTATAGATGTGACAGCATACTTATAAATTCCTTAGGTCTCTATTTGTGCAGCATCCTTAACACCAAACCACAGTTACCTAATCAACTTAACTGCTTTTTTGAATCAGTGATTGTTTTTGCAGTTTCCCAGGTGTTTACCACTTTCCTTTTGAGTAAGTAAATGAAGACGGGGTTTGTTTGTTTTTAAACTTGTGGGGTAAATAGGAGTGAATGGTACTTGCCAAAGAACACATTTCCATATGTTACTAAAGAGAGGTAGCTAGCCATGTTTGCTTGAAGTCCAGCGGAAGACAATGCATGGTGGTACCTAAGAGACTGATTAATTCAGAGACGCATAAGCTTCTGTAAGTCTATTCATAGGATATGACAAAGTAGGTTGTTATCTACAAAAGCTCATGCCTTTCTGAACCAGTTAGTCTGTAAGGTGCCATGCTGCCCTGCCTTCTGCCTATGTTACAAAGTTAGCCTTATATGCGGGTGTTCCAGCCTTTTATCATCATTTGTTATACTGCTTGAAATAAAATACTAAGTACCAGAACCAAGACTTAGAATCCAGGTGTGATGGTTCAACAACAAAACCTAATTCACTTGGCACAGTGTGCCCATACTAGGTCACTAAATCTCTCTGTTCTCTAGTTACACCATTAGTATGGGCATTGGGTGGACAGCTCTTTTACTTGTAGGTCTCAGATCACTTTACTGAAGTGAATGTAACTGGTCTGTTTTAGCAGTTGCCTGGAGAACAGAGATTTAACTATCCTGTGCTATCCTGTGGTATCATAGGTTTAGATGACAGGAGGCAGAGTTTAAATTAGCTGACTACATACAGGGGTTTGGTTCTGTCAGGAGTACAGTTTTACAAACCCCATACTAAAATGTTTTCATGTTTTATAAACATTTTTCCTATAATTATTTCCCTTATCCATCTGGATTTTTCAGATTTGGGTCAGAATTTAAGAAACAAGAAGCCAGACTGACGGGTATGGGCTTGTTGTTCAGTCTGTGTTGATTGTATATGCAGTTCAGCATTTTCTTAATATTTTATAGCTGTTAGTAAATCTTGTCCACTAATAGTCTCTTTAAATTGCCCATCAGACATCCTTTATAAATTCATTTGTTCAGTTATCTCAATGGTAGGATGGAATAAAAGGTGAAAAATATGTTAGTTTTTTCAGTGTTTGGTTTTTAATTGTATTTTAAAACATCTTGTTTTGTGCCAACTAGAAGAATGAAGTCCTGTGCTATTCCCTGTTTCCCTTATTTTCCTCTTTTAATTGAAAACTGCCGCTTTCCTTCGGGTAGTATGATCTAGAAATCTTGCTCTATCCCAGGAGCACAGAGAAGAAATAGTAAATACATTTTCACCGAATCTTTCTTTTCTGCAGATGGCATATGGAAAGAGCTTTCAATTTTAATCGTTCACCCAATATTTCTCCTCAGCTTACATCTCTCCAGCAGCATAGACCCTGGTCTGAATATCAAGAAGCTTGGAGGCTTGTATATTAGCTTTGATGCAGAAAAACAAAGGTCTGGACCAAGTGTAGTTAAGCAATCACAAGAGAAAAAGGAAGAAAAGGTAACATGTTTAAGATCATAAATTTACAGGGCTGCCTGGGGTTATGATCATTCAAAGATTTAAAATTAGTCAAATTATGACACTGGTTTTAGAAAACCCCTTCACTTAAAGTTTGGAGGCAGTAGTAACATTTTTAGCTAAAACATATGTTTGAATTTGGTGGTGATCATGGGAATTGACTGTATAAATGGGATGTAAGAGCCTGTGGGACAGTGTAAATACAGGGGATTACCCTACAGCAGGGCTCGGCAACCCCTGGCACACGTGCCGAGCATGGCACGCGAGGCCATTTTGCTTGGAACGCCACAGCCAGCCCCAGCTCTGGGTAGCTGCTGCCAGCGATGGAGCCCAGGCTGCTCCCAGCAGGGCTTGCAGTGTCTCAGCTGCCTGCTGCGAGCAGCCTGGGCTCCCGGCTGGCAGCAGCTACCCAGAGCCAGGGCCAGCTGCAGCCAGGAGGCTGCATACAGCTGTGCTGGGCTCCGGAGCCCTGGCATCAGCTCTGTACTGGTGTGTGCACACACGCCTCAGAGCAGGCAGTGGGGGAGGGGCCCGAGGCAGCGCAACTCTGGTCTCTCGCCCGCTCCTGGCACAGCTGATGACTGGGCTCTGGAGCCCGGTGCAGCTGTTTGTAGCCAGCCTGGGCTCTGAGCAGCTGCAGCAAGCAGTGGGCAGGCTGCAAACAGCTGTGTTGGGCTCCACAGCTCCGGCATCAGCTCTATGCGTGCACAGTCGCCACCAGCATGGAGCTGTGGAGCCTGGCGCAGCTTGCTTGCTGCAGCTGCCCAGGGCCCAGGCTGGCCACAGACAGCTGTGCTGGTCTCTGGAGCCCAGTCACTGGCTCTGTGCCGGGAGCGGGGGAGAGACCGGGGTTGCGCTGCCTCAGGCCTCTCCTCACCACCCACTCCAAGGCATGCGTGCACATGCCAGAACAGACCTCCCAGCTGCGGCCAACCCTGGCTCTGCGTAGCTGCTGCCAGCCGGGAGCCTGGGCTGCTCACAGCAGGCAGCTGGGATGCTGCAAGCCCTGCTGGGAATAGCCCGGGCTCCAGCAGCTACCCAGAGCCAGGGTAGCTGCTGACGGCCACAGGGCTGGGGGGCAGGGCCTTTGGGTGGGGACAAGGGGCACAAGCAGGGCATCCTGACATGTACCCCCTGCCCTCATTTTGTTTTTGTGGCATGCCAGCACTCTGGCACCTTCCAGGGTAGGCATTGTGGGGGTTTTCAGCACTCCAGCCAAAAAATATTGCCTACCCCTGTCCTACAGAATATGAATAACTGGTTTATTTAAAGCATGCCTGTTATTTGTCAAGGGATTATATTTTATGAATTGAGTTTCTGATATGCTGCATTATCACAGACCTAGCTAATAGTCAAACACATACTGTCTTTTGGGAATGAGGTAAAGTATGATCCTGTTCTGGGCAGAAAATAAAACTAGAATTCAGCAGTCAAGTCAGTTGGAGACATTTGAGACCTCCATAACTCTAGGGTGGGGTTTAGTCTGGCTGAGTAGGTAAGGGGCTTGCACTGCTTTCCAGGAAGGCTGCTTATTTACTTAGGCAGTCTCATTCCTAACAGCTTTATTAATAACTACTTGCTTCTTCCAGCCCTGATCTAATGTTCTGTATCGTTTGCCAGTACTCGGTTCCCTTTCCTTGATATGAAGATCCCTACTTCCATCACTATAGGGCAGGAAAGCCTGTTTCCCTTAGCAGCCATTTTAATGTGGTGATGCTTGCTTAGAATCCTTTGTCATTTCATTGGTGTGTTCTTTGTATTACCAAATATATAATGAAATTCAGATCAGTCCCATGACTGTTAAGCATTACTTAGTAACAGTAATTTGATTTTCTGTTTAGATTTTGCAGAAGAGTATAATAACTCCAGATTTTGAAAAAAAGGAATGTGTCCCACCCGTTAAGGAGTCGCTCCAGCAGCTAAAAAAACAGCGCAAGGTAAGGGTAGAGCCTATGACTCTCAACCACTGGTATCCTTGGAGACACAAAAACAGAATACCTTGGCTTTGCATTTTTATGACATCAGATCTGGTTGTTGTGCCGTAGGCAGAGCGAGAGAAAACAACAGGTGATGCCTGGTTTGGTATGAAAGCCCCAGAAATGACAAGTGAATTGAAAAATGATCTGAAGGCACTGAAGATGAGGGCCTCCATGGACCCCAAACGTTTTTACAAGAAGAATGATAGAGATGGCTTGCCCAAGTACTTTCAGGTAAGGAACCAGTAAAAATAGATCCTATTGCCACTTTTGTAACCAAGAGTAGTGATGCTTATTTTCTACCCTCAGTAAGCAGCTCTCACTTAATATTAGGTCTATGAACTATGAAATGGACTCATCACTCTTTCAGGTAATGCCATTTAAATCCTGTGCTGGGTTATTTGCTAATACAATGGCAAAGGGACAGTAAGAAATTAATTCTCCAGAGAATAACCAGGGTTCCCTCCACCCCAGCACATAGAAATAAACTCTTGTATTTTTTTGGAGAGCTAGGTTGGATTCACCAAGGCAGGTGCTGTAGTTCTCATGCTGAGAATAGTACTGTTCCTAAAACTCATACACTGGTCTTATTTACTGTAAGCATAACAGTGTATTCATATACAAAACACTGCCTAAGGCTTGTAACAGTGCAGGCACTTTGTGACTTGTTATAAAAAAGCCTGTTTTGTTGCCAGAAGACTCATTTTAAATGTCCTTTTCCCAGGTTGGAACTGTGGTTGACACTCCAGTAGACTTTTACCATGCTCGAATTCCTAAGAAGCAAAGGAAGAAAACGATTGTTGAAGAATTGCTTGCAGATTCTGAATTTAGAAGGTATTGAGGAGTGGCTTAATTTTAAGACTAGCAGTATAATTCACATTAAAAGAGAAATATATTTTTAATAGAGATTTGTATTTCCTTTTGGTTATTTTTATAAATTCAGAAAGCTGGGGCTGATGCTAGTCAGGATTTAAAAGTTTGTTGACTGTGTTGAGAATAGAAGCTCCCATACCTGTTTCCTGTGTCGTGAACGGCCAGTGCCTCATTTTTGGGCACCGTTTAGTTAAAAAAATAACTTTGAATATAAATTGCCCACAACATGCCTGGCAGTTACTTTATTAAATTAGTTATAAATATTAACTGAAGAAAACAGCTAATTGTTTATCAGAATTCCTGGTGCCAGTGAGCAACTTTAGCAAGCCCTAAAATGTTGATGTTGTTCACACTGCTAACTGGTGCAGAAATAGAATCTATACCAGGAAAATAATTTATGTTATCTTATTTTTGATCTGTGCACATGGTTCACCTTGTTAACCTTTCTCTTCGATTTTTTTATTTCTTTATTTTTTTAACTGAATAAGAGATGATCAGAAAATTCACTTAGAGACTAATATAAAATTTAGTGCAAACTGGCAGCAACATTAGTAATACTGTTGAGCCTGTTCATCTTTAAGGAGAAGGTGGACTATTGGAAGCTTCAATTAGCAGGCTGCATAATGTAGTAGAAAAACAATTTTTCCAGGTAAAAATGTTTAATGCCAAAATATTTTATTTTTAAGCTCATAATTATTTATGTTTTGTATCTAGTTTGTCTGTAAACTTGCTACATGTTTCACTTGTTAATGCAAGAAATTTTGTTTCCCTCCATGCAAAGTTCAGTAGTTTACCAGCAGTGTTTGAAAAATATCCCAAGTATTTGTTTGTTATCCTTGCTACTAATGTCAGTTCTGCCTCACTAGTCCTGTGTTTATCAAGCTGTAAAAAACTGTAAAATGAAACTTAACCTAGCAAATTACTAGGTGTTTTGTGTGTTGCCTTCTACTGCACTGTGTGTGTTATACTTACATAATTTATTTTCATTTGTTCAGATATAATAAAAGGAAGTATCGGGAGATCATGACTGAAAAAGCAGCTCTTGCAGCAGGCAAGAAGAATCGGAAAAAGAAGAAATTTCACAAATAAGATTTGGAGAAGATAACTAGAAGGAATGCTTTGTTTTTATTACAGATTTGTTTACAGAATGTTTTGATGGTGATTGTTTAAGATTGAAGCTGTCTTTCTAACTGAGTTAAGGCAGGGCAGGCCCTGTCTTTACAGTGGTATTTTGACAAGGGAGAATAACACAAGAAATGACATGAGATTCTGTTTTGTGGACTGGCACAGACATTCAGTAGTGACAGCATAAATTCATTCTACAAGGAAAAAGAAGTGTCATCCTGTACAATCAGTAGTTGAAGGAGATGGGTGTGTGAAAGAGCTGGAATTTTTCAAAAATCATTTTTTTTTCCCTCTAATAAGAAAAATCTTCATGAAAATCTGCAAGTCTAGCTTTTTAATTTTGTAGATAACTCTGCATGCATTTGTTAGTAAAGCCTTCATTTTAATGAAGGTTTTTATAAAAGTGCATTCAGTCTACAATTCTAACCAGCTATTTTTAATGTCTCCTTAAAGCAGTGATTCATATTCACCAAGCTGTGATGATACTGGAGTTCATAAACTTGTACATGGACTGTAAAATGCTATTTTTACTCTGTGCTATACAGGAAAAAATAAATTACAAGTGGAAATGAGTGTTATCATGCTATCAGAATTAAACTGTTTTCTTTATGTGGATTTATATGATATTGTGGTATAATTTAACATTAAGTCAGAAGGTAAGAATATAGATTTAAAGGGGTACTGCCAAAACTCAGGCATCCAACTGGACGTGCTTGAATATGAAGGCTCTGTAGGCTGTGTTTACATAACTTGAACACAGTTTCTATTACATTCTGCCCATCTCTTATTCCACTTCTTGCTTGAGTTATAGGTTCCTTAACATCTCTCAATAAAATAAAATAAAAAATTATCTGGCTGTTCTGTACCAAAAGTTAGAGAGATATGGCTTGTGCTTGAGGAAAAGACTCCTTTGTAGTTTCCTAACACGTAGTTGCTCCTGCTTGGCTTCATCTAGTAGGAGTATAGTTCTTTCAAGGTTCAACATAATGTGGAGATTATCCTCAACATTTATCTTTCTTTCTAAATCTACTTTTTTGTATTAATACTATCTGTGGCCTCTGTGAATTGACTCTGTAGGTTTAGAATACAAAGTACTATAGTATGGTAATTGCTACTCTTGCTGACAGTTTTAACCAAGAATCTAAGGATTAAATGAATGAGGATAATGGAACTCTTCAATCTTGGTGATATCCTTCCAAATCATGATTCAGGAAAATAAGCACGGCAGATCTGGCAAGCTTGCACTGCCACTGCAAATTCTATAGGTACTGATGTCTGTAGCCTTCCAAGATCACATTTATTTAAAACAAGTTTATGCTGCTTTTGAATGACCCTGAAATATTTTTGTGCTGCTGTTGCAGGTACCCCTAATTACTAATTCTAGGATACAGGATAAGAAAGGAAATTTAATGGCAGTATTTGAACTACTACCACATCTTTTAGGCTGAGCAGTCTGTGCCAGAATTGGTCAAAGAGTACTGATGATCCTCTGGGTATTTTTAGTTACTGTTTTTCATCGTAAGAACATTGAATTTTGAAGACTAACTAAAGGTTTTAAAGGAGAAGCATTTTATATACAATAAGTGAAATATTCTACAATAGGAAAAATGAATGAAATAGCTTAGTAAATAGTTAGTTTTGAGTTTCTGTTTTTAAAGCAGAGGTGGGCAAAATATGACCTGTGGGCAGGATTTGGCCTGCCAAGGGATTCAATCCAGCCTGCATCAGGTCCCTCAGCCCCACCTGGCCCAGGCCCTAGTACATGTGCCAGGTCCCACTCCTTGCAGGCGAAGTGCGGCAGCTAGACAGTTTTTCAGCAGCCCCCGCAGCAGCAACTCTCTCTGCCCAACTGCTTGCTGCTGGCAATCTGCCCTACACCCATTGCTAGGGGTGCTGGGCAAGCAGGCACAGTCTCCATGGAGACTGGCCTAACCCAGGATCCCTGCAGGCATGGTGTATGCCCCCAGGCAGATGGGATGGAGCTCTGGGCAGGCAGGGAACAGGAGCCAGTGACAGCTGGGGTGGGAGTTGCAGGGCCAGGTCCCAGGGAGATCCACTCCCTGCAGGTCCCTGCCCACAGAACAGGTGCCTGTCTCAAGGGTGTTTGGGGAGCGAATGGCAGCTCTGCTGTAGATCACGGCCCCTGCCCTGCAATCCTGGCCCTGCCCACCTGCCCCACTCCCAGATGCTGCTCTCTGACCAGCTGTGGCCCCATCTCATTTGCCTGGCTGAGCACACCCTGCTTTTGGCAGTCCCAGACTGGTCTCTGTGGAGAGATCCTGCTTGCCTCCTCCATCTGGCATCCCCACCAGTGGGTGCAGAGCAAAAGGGCCAGGGGCTGGATGGAATCAATTGCCCTGCTTCACCAAGCCACACCCTCTTCCCTCTACTGCCCAGCCATCTGGCCTGGAACAGCTCACTGAAACTCCTTAAGTCCCCTCCAGCCCAAATAATTGCCCATCCCTGGTTTAAAGGATTAGATACTTCTGCTTATAGTAGCTTCAGCTATTACAAAGCTTAAAGTAGAATTTAGAGCAATTGCTGGGTGCAGACATGTATAACAATTGAAACATTCACAAATGTCAGTGATTGGGAATTGGGTTACAAATATATGAAGCACCAGGGGCTGGGAGTGAACTCCCTGCACACATTGCAGTAGGTGATTTACGGGGGAAGTACTTGCACTCATGCTTTGGAGATCCCTGGAGACTGGGTGACCTGTGGCTGGGGACTAGGCCTGTGCAAGTAGGCAGCTATTCGATCCAGCTTCGGATCTGGTTGCTTAGGATGCCAGGGATCTAATCCGGAGCTCCAGACTGGGTTCCCACTATGATCTGGCCGAAGCAGCTCCAAAGCTTCAGAGCTGCCTCAGAGATCCGGCCATAGGGTATAATGGGGAATCAACTAAATATCTATAACTGTTGTTTTTTGTCTGATTTGGATGAACTTTGGGTGGTAGCCTCTGCTGAGAGCATGAAGCCTGCCAACTTTCAAGAGGATTAGTGCAGGGGTTTGTGGGGAACTGCACCCCAAATTCTTGAAAGCAAAACTCATGTCATGTGTATGTGTTACACCATAGGGGGCTGAAAACTGCAGGGGTGAGGCCACAAAGTCTGCCAAGTTTCAAGGGGATAGGTGCAGGGTTTTGGGGGGAACTGCATCTCAAGCTGCTGACAGCTGAAGGTTCGTACTTAGAGGGTGGTGGTGGACAGGTCATATTCAACCTGGGGGGAAGTGGGCAGCGGAGTCCCCCAGGGCTCGGTCCTTGGGCCCACCCTGTTCAATTTCTTTATCAGCGATTTGGGCGACAGGGTGAAAAGCAACCTAATCAAATGTGCTGATGATACCAAAATTTGGGGTGAGGTGGGCACGTTAGCAGGGAGGGAAAGACTGCAGAAAGACCTGGATAGGTTGCAGGGGTGGGCTAACAAAAACAGGATGCATTTCAATACGGACAAGTGCAGGGTGCTACACTTGGGCAGCAGTAACCAGCAGCACACTTATAAGATGGGAAACTCCCTTCTTGAGAGCACGGAGGCAGAAAGGGATCTTGGAGTTAGCATTGACTCCAAGATGAACATGGGCCGACAATGCGAGGTCACAGTCGGCAGGGCTAACCGGACCCTATTGTGCATTGACAGGTGCATCACAAGTAGGTCCAAGGAGGTGATCCTCCCCCTCTACGTGACACTAGTCAGGCCACAGCTGGAGTACTGTGTCCAGTTCTGGGCACCCCACTTCAAGAGGGATGTGGACAACATTGAGAGGGTCCAGAGGAGGGCCACCTACATGATCCGGGGACAGCAGGGCAGACCCTCCAATGAGAGGCTACGGGACCTGAATCTGTTCAGCCTTCACAAGAGAAGGCTGAGGGGGGACCTGGTGACTGTCTATAAACTCACTATGGGGGACCAGAAGGGTTTGGGGGAGACCTTGTTTCCCCTAGCGCCCCCCAGGATAACAAGGAATAACGGCCACAAATTGTTGGAGAGTAGGTTTAGATTAGACATCTGTAAGAACTACTTCACAGCTAGGGCGGCTAGGATCTGGAACCAACTTCCAAGGGAAGTGGTGCTGGCTCCTACCCTGGGGGTCTTTAAGAAGCAGCTTGATGCCTACCTGGCTGGGATCATTTGAGCCCAGTTTTCTTCCTGCCCAGGCAGGGGGTCGGACTTGAAGATCTACAAGGTCCCTTCCAACCCTACTTCTATGATTCTATGACAGGCAAAACTCATGACATAGATGACCCTGTGTGTGTCAAGGTGCAACTATGTCTGTCTTGGGGCAGTTGATTGTCTGTATTGATTATTTCCTCTCCTTAGTATGGGGTTTTGTAGGTGTTAATTGTTGCTAATTAACCATTTAACATTAGCTAGCAACTGTATTGAGCTGGTCCCTGAGTGAATCATGATTGATTGGTAACTGGTAACAGTAGCTTAGCAGCCAGGCCTGCAGTAGTCCCCCCAAGACAGACACAGTTGCACAGGCACCCATGTCACCAGTTTTGCCTGTCAGCAGCTAGAGGTGCAGGGCCCCAGAACCCCCCTGCACGGATCTCCTTGACAGCTGGCAGGCTTTGTGCCCACAGCAGGGGCCACCATCCCTGGAGCCTTCACCCTGCTGCGCCTTAACACACACACAGTGTCACCCATGTCACGAGTTTTGTTTGTCCATAGCTTGAGGTGCAGTTCCCTCAAACCCCTGCACTTATCTCCTTGAAACTTGACAGGCTTCGTGGCCTCAGCAGGGGCCACCAATCCTGCAGTTTTCACCCCCTGTATTGCAACGCATAGACTTGACACGAGTTTTGCTATCAAGAATTTGGGGTGCAGTTCCCCCTGAATCCCTGCACCAATCTTCTGGAAACTTGGCAGACTTCATGATCTCAGCAGAGGCTACCACCTCTGCAAATTTCATCTGAATCAGACAACAAAGAACAAAGTTATAGATATTGCATTGATTCCCCATTATACCCTCTGGCCGATCTCCAAAGCTTTTCCGAAGCGCTTCAGAAGCTCTGAACCACTTCGGAAAGCCTAACAAAGCCAGCACTTCGATCCAATCCAGATCTGAAGCAGGGTCCGAAGCCTCACTGGGGACGTTTGTACTTTGCTTTTCCTTCTGTCTTAAATGTGAGTTCAGTAAATTTCAATAGCTTGTACTTGACCAGTCAGCAGTGTGCTTGTCTGACTTAAGGGGTAGGAGGGTAGTGCTTAGAACTAAGTTTTGTGGTTCCCAGGGACTAGGGGTGGATGGTGAGGGGTTGTGGTAGAGTTACTCTTCATGTTAGTAAACCTATGCGTTGCCAGCTGAACTGAAGAAGAAATTTGCCTGTGTCCCTCAGACTTGCATTTATACCTTTTTTTCTAAAACTGTCCAGTACTGATGATTGATGACAATGAAGGCCCAAGATTTAACCTACAAATCATCAACTTTTTAAAAAATTTTTATTTTTTTATTAGTTCACAGGTATGTACTAAACACCCTCTTCTGGAAAATCAGTACCTGCACAAGGATTAAGTTGGGCATATGCAAATCCCTTTAGAAAATATTGTCTTGGATATTCTGTTCTACTATAATTATTCCTATATTCAGCTCTCAGATCTGTGCAGACA